TATGTACAAGGTTTAATAGTAAGTATAAAGAAATTATAGGGCAATAACTCATATAAGGGGTCATCAGATTCTTTTGCATTTATACAGTGAAGTTAGGTCTAAAGACCCTTAAGATATTAGTGAAAGTTTGGTGTCTCTAGGGTCTACAGCTTCGGAGGAGTAGTGATAACAAGGTTTTTCGCACAAGGGGCAATAACTTTTAAAAGGTTTTATCTTAGGGGACAAGAATGAAATCTTTGAAACAATTTTAAGAGTACATATTAATGATGCATTGACATTAAGTATATGTTGAAAGACAAAAGAGATACAAAAAAAGCTAATTTTCTCATTTTTTGAATAACCTTGACCTTTGACCTTTACATGAATTTTAAGGTCAAAGGTCAATGAATCTTATGCAGTTGGTCCCATGTCTCTACAACTTTTTGTTTTGAAATTTTTTAATTATTTGTAAAATTCAAAAAGTTTCAGGGGCAATAACTCATTGAAGGGGTCACCGAATACTTTCGCAATGAATAGATTGAAGAGTCCCCTAAATTAGTCGAAGACATTCGTAAAGGTTTCATACCTCTGCGGTGTATGGTTTCTGAGGAGTAGCGATAACAAGCATTTCTTGCAAAAGGGGCAATAACTTCGAAAGCGGTCAAGGTTCATTTACGCAGGGTCAACTGCAAACATCTTTTACGGAGTACATTCTTATAGACTATAAATCTTTTCGATAAATCTTGAAACAAAAAATCACACGGCGGAAAAATAATAAAAAAGAAGAAACAGAAGGAAATCAATAGGTCTTTCCACAGAAAGGTGGAAAGACCTAAAAAAGAATAATAAACAGAAGAATATCAATAGGTCTTTCCACAGAAAGGTGGAAAGACCTAATTATCAGACTGAAATACCAGCAAATACTTGTAAATTATGAATTACGAAACGATGGCTATGAAATGAAAATCTAAACCACTACAAATTATTATCCCCCTTTTATAAATGATAGTGGACATTTACTTGCAAATCTTTTGTCTTTTTGAAATAACAAGCAAATTGTAAAAAGTTGCATTGAAAAAAAGAAACAACTTTAGGATCAAGTAACAGAAAAATAGGGTCAGTCGGGTAGCAGATAACAAGACTATTTTTTTTAGCCTCATGTAATATTTATGTACCTGTAATAAATTTATGTATGTATTTGTTTTATGCTCAAAAGGACCCTGATTATAAACAGATATCATATTCATAGATTATAAAAGAAATATTTAATACAACAGGTGAAGCAAGCTATGAACTAGACAGTGTATTCAGCTTTCTCTGCTGAAATAATGTGACCAAATCAAGTGTCACCTGGAAAGAGGAATGTCAAGGGTGCTTTCTACATTAACTCCAAAATAGCCATCGGTTTGTATTTTTTTCTTTCAATTTACACTTGCACATGTATCAGGGAAAATAAAGAAATTTTCTTATAATACATGTATTAAAAATTTAAATTTATGATTTTTAGTCCTTGTATTTTTAATTTAAACACCATAATGTACATACAGTATTATTGTATACAATGTACATATAGAAGCATTTTCTTAAGTCAATAATCTCTCAAAGATCATATCAATATTTCAAGAAAGTTCAAGCCAGATCTGCTACAGCAAATTGAACATAAAGTGGCATACTTGTGTATCAAGAAACGAGGAACATGTATGGCTGGACTGAGAATCTAACCGGGGATCCCTGCATCACTACTTACATGTAGGTGTTCTATTGACTTAAATACATGTATGGTTAAATACTTGTGTATAAACATATAAAAAGTCATGTTGTAAATTGAATTCAAAACTGAATAACCAAAAAAATTGTAAAATATCAAGATGTTTTTTAACTTGAATGAAATTGTTTCAACTAAAGCACCAAAGAATTGGTAAGATAATATGAAGAAGTCAGTATTGTTAAAAAACTTGTAATTGACATGGTTTTTTAACAATATTGACCTCTTCACATTATCATAGCTAAATTTGCGAAATAAATCTAAATTGTTAATAAATTCTACATTTTTTTTAAAAATAGATCAAGCTATTTACTTTATTTTATTTTCATCATGTTACAGATCCCATGGAAATATAGGATCCTTGGCTAATCAAGTGTCATCTGCAGTGTTACAAAAGAATATTGGATTTATATCAATAAGGTAATTAGGGACAAAACTGAATTAAAAAAAATGGAATAAGATGTAAAAGAAAAGTATTTTAATTCCACATATAACAGTTAGGTTGCTAGTTGTATATGCATTGATGTGTCACTGACAGGTACATGTAGTTTTTTTATTTCCACAAAAACTTGATCCTTTGGTATTAACTCTTGAACAGTTTGTGCTGAGTCTTTGTATTTCACATTTATTTCTTTTCCTTTAGCCCCATGGTCTTGGCCTTAGAGTGTGGCCTACATTTAGAAACTAAAATATTTGATCTTTATCCTTATATACCAGTTTGTTTAATTAAAACAATTCATTAATCGAAATAATTTCCTTGGGAGCAAAAGTGCCCAGATTAATGAGGCTGACTTTATATGCATTTAATTTAAAAAAAAAATCATGACATTATATAAAAAAGGTATCTCAAAAGTGTCTTATATTCATATAGACATAGTCATACTATGTTTGCAGTGTAAGAAAGAAGTAAAACATGTATTTTCATTCTTATTGTATTAAAATATTTTGTTCTTTTCAGAAAAAGAACTACCAGAAGGAGACGGTAAAGAGGAACGGACATATCACATCATAAGATGTGCTTCAAAATCTGAATATACAGAGTGAATTTTGCTTACTGCAGATCCTTGTGAAAGAACACCTTTGTTGTATTGACATAAAAACAACGAAATTGTCAAGATCCTTGAACATGACGCAACTGGCTGCATACAATGGCAATTAAAAATGCATACATGTTTACATTGATCTTTGTTAGCCAATAAGACAAAAAACAAAATAGCAAGTTTATCCTATTACTGTACATGTACTGAATGTATTCACTTTATTTTGTTGAACTACATCATGAGTTTAAAAAATTGTACAGTATCACATACAGTTTATAGTGGGATTCCTCTAACTTTTATGAATCTGTTTGCAAAATCTATACTTTAAAGTTACAAATTTTTACATCTAATACATTGTGTTTTTTTTTTTTTTGTAAATTATCAGATTTATTACACTATTTTTGTATGTATGTAATGATAACCAAATCACCCAATTTTCCCGCACTTTTTGCCATGTATTTAGCATTTGTTAACCATGCTTTAGTGTATTAATATCTGACAACTGATGACCATCATTTAACAGTGTAATACATAACACATTTTTATCTGAATATTTTTCAAACAAGGATAACATGCCATGGATTGATTCTGTGTTCAAAACTTCATAATCATTGGGTTTTCTTATTTATGTTGTACACGTATTTGGAATAAAAAAGGAATTGTTAAAAGAAAAGTTAAATTAATCATTCTATTGTTGTCATAGGAAGATAATAAAACCAGTTTACTTATGCACAGAATTGGTCAAAACATATTGTCATTGATAATTCATCCAAGAATCATATGTATAATAAATCTACAAAGTCAATTTCAACGATATCAAGGAAAGTTCTTATCTTTTTTTAATATAAGTGCAAAAAGGTCAAGCAGGGCAACATGTGTCCAGGTGTACGTGTATAAATGTTTTCTGTGATATAGAATGTAATTTAGAAGAATATTACTTGGAATTTTACTCATTTTCTTTGAAATATTTTGATTAATTCTATCTATCAAAGTCAATTTGAACGATATAAGGAAAACTTCTTATCTTTTTTAATATAAGTGCAAAAAGGTCAACCAGGGCAACATGTGTCTAGGTGTACATGTATAAATTGTTTTTTTTTTTTATACAAAATGTAATTTAGAAGAATATTACAAAGAATTTACTCATTTTCTGTGAAATATTTTGATAAATTCTTGATAATCTCTCTTAGTCACCATATTCTTCAAAACTGCATCCTTCTAAAGGAAGGGGGTAGGGTAGGGTGTAAGATAATAAACTTGTTCCAGGTTGAATTGAAACCCCATTATGTAGTATGATTTTTTTTTTAATTTAAGACACTTATAGGCTAACTATAATATGCAATAAAAAAAAGAAATTTGATGGGTAATTTTTTCACAGTGGAAGCAGAAGTGTGAGACTTTGTGCAATGAATAGGCAATATTTTAACCCAATTTGACCATGCATCTTGGTAAATGTAATTCTGTTTTTTGCTTACAATGCTTGATAAATTTAAGATTGATGTAAAATATAAACCCATACAGACAGATGTTTGAATTCATATAAGACAAATGATAATTGATATAGCAATAGAAAATTTACAGCCCTTTTCATATCATATTCTTATATTATTTTACCCTGCTTTTTCAGCTCTTCAGTGGTTGATGAAGGCTATATTAAAATTGTCAAATTTCTCTAAAACTAGCCCGATGACCTGCCTTGAATTTTTGATATGATTTAAAACAAGGACTCAACACAAACATATAAAAAATTCAGAAAAATTCAATGGGTAGTTTTTTTGTTGACAAGCTATCAACTTCTACCTTAAAAAAATGTATCAAGTTTGTATGTATACAGAAGAACAGCTAGTCAGTCGGAGGGACGTCGGACAAAATGTGATCTGAAAAGCTCACTTTATGCAATGTAGAAATCTTTAAAATTCAATGGATGTGCCAAGTTATACAATGTTAATATTTATATTTACTTAACTTACTTAATTGTCACATTCAGAAAAGAATTAAAACTTTAGGAGGTTAAATGATTGCAGCGTATTTGTGTTCTTTCTACATGTATTTGCATTTCAAATTTCAAATTGCTTTAAAATTGGATCTCATACCCCATGCTTTTATTTTGCGCATATGTACGTGTTAAGTATAATTTAATACAATTTTACAATGAAAGTATGAAAATCGTCTTACGAGCAAAGCGCAATATAATAACTAGTTTGTTATTTTTACAGATCGCGGATGCTACAATATTACCCAGCGGACGACCACTGTTACAACAATTTCTACACAAGAAACAACAACAAAACATTTTACAAGAATTTCCAATGTGAATACCACAAAGCCAACTGAATTGTCGTCTTTCCAAGATTCTTTCCATATGAAGCATCCTCAACTTGTTTTGGCGTAAGTACATTTTAAAACTCTATCTTTGATGAAATCGTTAATGTCTACGTAAGAAATCTCCTCCGGTTTATTTTGCGTCATTCTAACTGTGACTGGTCTCACTGAAATTATTGAAAGTTCCCACAAATTTAAAAGAGGTATATTCAATTACTTGAGCCAAGATTCCAGTATGCTTTCTTTCTTCCTTTAGTTTAATTTTATGACGGCATTTGTACCATGATTTTTCAAAGCTTAACGAATCTAAACGAATCATAATGAATATTGAAATAAACAGAATTCATTTTTGTTGGGGGGGGGGGGGGGGGGCGTAGGGGCGAAATAATAAGACCTCCTCTTAGGTGGACCATTCATGGTAGCGAAGACCATATAGGGCTCACGAGAATGTTTGTGATTTCGAATGTCGGCCACGACTTACCTTAGGCGAACAAAATGGTAAGCAAAATTTCTTCCGCCATGCACCCAGAACGTGAAGTCGCTCGCGTGGCGCAGTGGTTAGAGCTTCTGCTCTAGAGTCGCGAAGTAAGGAGTCAATCCTTACGTTGCGGGTTCGAATCCCACTGCGGGACGAGGAGACCGGTCTTTCGGATGAGACCGTATAAACCAAGGTCCCGTGTCGCAGTAGGTGCTGGCACGAAAAAGACCACTCACTGCTTAAAGGCCCTGAGTGCAGAGCATAGGACAAAATTTGTAGCCCTCCACCGGCAAGTAGTGGCGTTTCCATATGAGTGAAAAATTCTCGAGAGGTACATTAAACAATATACAATCAATCAATCAATCAATCGAAACATGAAAGTAATGGGCCTCTCAGATGAAACCATAAATCCTATCCGCGCCTCACAGCGTCACGATCGTCATTAGCATGATAAATATCCCTCACTGCTTGATGACCTTGAGTGCCGAATAAAGGTCAAATTTGAAGTCCCTTATTTCTGTTTGGTGACGTCCATTTATGAAAAATTGTTGCGAAATGCGAATTGTCATTGCACAAAAAAAAATCCATAACAGTTTTTAAGTTTCGCGTGGTAATACAATAAATTACGCATGCACGATGGTTGTCCATAAAATTCACGGACAAGCTAAATAAAATTTAAATACAATTTGTGTCATACAAGTAGATAACTATAACATGTATTTACATATTTATAATCCTTTACTTAATGTAGGATATGGAGATAACGAACAGTATTCAAAATCAAAGTTTATCAAACAATACAAAATAAGAGCAGAGCAAACACGGACCTCCGAAACATCAGAGGTGGGATCAGGTGCCATGGAGGAGTGGTATCCCCCGCCAACCGGTCACACCCGCCGTGTGTTCCTTTTCATGATCAGAAAATAAAAGAAAAATTCGTTTTCAATTCATTGTAAAAATAATGGTCTAAAAATTAATATGAAAAACATCAGTCAGCATTTAACCCAATGATAAATTGCATTGATGACAAGATTATTGTATCGACCATAGAACTAACGAAATGATGACTTTAAACGAGACTGCTGATATTCCTGTTTCATCAACTTGCTTGTCATTAATTTACCTTTATTTTTAAAAATTGTTCATACGTAGAGAATGCTCTTGCGTATGGAATCAACTGAGATATACACAGTGACTGTATATACTCCGTATGCAGGTGATTAAGGTATATTGCTGCATACATAAGGGAAGTTGACGATAGAAAAGTTAAAACCATCACGTTTATCATACAGCTTGGTTGTAAGATTAACATGAACATCTTTTTCAGGATGTGAACAACAAAATGCAAAATCGTTTTAAATTTCAAATATATAATTTCGGTTTTGGCTTCATTATTAGACTAAATTTCATTTCTATTTTGTGAAATTCCACAGAAATTTGGATTGCTTTTACATTGTGAGGTTGACATTCAAAAATTTAATTATAACTTCAAATCTGCAAAATTTTGATGCTCAGGGTTTCGAAATGGATGAAAAATTATCGAAGTTAGAATTTATCAAGACAGGATCGGCATTATTCGAAAAAGTGACGTTTTTGGAAAAAGTGGAGCAGAGAGCAGTGATAAAAATCTGCGTAGACATCGAAGAAAAAAAACATGAACAAAGACCCATGAATGCTGTTAAAAGTTTATTTCTTGCAATATTAATCACAATGTAAAGGTTACACGTGTTTTTGAACATCATTCTACAAATATTATTTGCGTTAAAGCTAATAAATTATTGCAAATTATTGAATGCTATGAAATAAAGAAATTCAAAAATATATATAAACAAAAACCATTCCAGACAACATATCTCAATTTTTTTGATTATTGACCCCATATAATGTTAATACTATGAGAATAAGGGCAACAAAAGTAACCTGATGCTATAAAAAATTTAGAATTCTTATCAGTCAGATTTTTTTAATATTCGATTATAAATGGGGAAAAAATATAAATATAAAGGAGGAAATTCGGACTGTAATAATTATCAAATTTATGGCCAAAACTCTAATCGTTTCTTTATATGAAGCAACGCTGTTCAATTGCTTTAATATTTCATTATCTAAAAAGCTTTGTTACTTGTAATATTTTGTGAGTGAAGAAAATTTGGTCATACATGTAGTGTGGAAAATTGAGGTATTTCCCACGAAATACTCAGGGGCCACTAGCATGAAAAGTAGGTCATTGACCTAGTAATTTGAAATTGAAATTTAACCATTTCTGGTTAAGAATATTGACAATAAACGAGCGATCGTCGAAAGAAATTAATCTGAAATAAGAATGATATTAAAAGAAATTATGATTTTTTTGGTATTTTCTCTACGAAACATATGAAGATAACAAACAATTACCAGAACCAAAAGTCTATAAAACAATATAAAATTAGATCATACATGTAGCAAATACGGACCTTCAAAACATCAGAGGTTCATAGTATCAAGTGCCATGGAGAAGTGAGCATCTCCTGTCGACCGGTCACACCTGCCGTGTGCTACTTGACGTGATCAGAAAATAATGGGAAAATCCGACTTCAGTTCAGTGTATAAATATTAGACTAAAATTAAGTATGAAAAACGTCACTCAGCATTTGACTTTATGAAAATATGTATTCGTGATAAGTGCATTGTATCGACAATAGAAATTACGAAATGATGACATTAAACGATACTGCTAATACTCTTGTTTCATCAACGTGTGTGTCAATAATTGACTCCATTTTAGAAACTGTTAATAGACTAGGCATAGAAAAACTGTACAGTATTTTTATTAACAATGGCAAAATTATTTGTTCTAGGTTTCTGGTTGCAATTGGAATCACTGCTCCAGTTTCTTCAATCCTTTGTTTCTTAAAATATTTTGCTTCTATTAAAAAGACACCAAAAATGTACACAATAGTAAATGCAGAGGACACAGGTGTGTAAACATTTCTTTTCTATTTTTTTTATTAACAATATTGATTTAACTTCTAGTTTCTCAAATGTCATGATATTTCTTTTATGCTACTCTTTCAAGCAAAAATTAAACGGAGATATAAGCTATATCATAACACAGGTATGTGTCGTTATTGTTGTTTATCATAGCTTAATAGATATCCAGCTAGTATATTCAAAGGTTGATAAGCAAGTCACTACCTGAGACTAAGGAAAAAATACATATAAGCAAATGAAATGTTCGCCTTTACACACTTACACATCATTTATAAAAAGATAAATATAAAAGAATCATCTTTTTTAAAAAAATGATTACCTACATCTATTAGTAGTATCAAAAACTTTGATTTATCATTGTGGCACCGTTTTGCATAGATACTAACACTGAAATGTATGATGCAAAATTAAAAAAAAAAAAGCGTTTACACTGTGGAGATCAATACATACTATATTATAACAACGACAATTATCATATTATTAAATAATTTCCATCTCTCTGATTGGCTGAGATCCAACTATGTTAGAAAAATACTACGTTGTATCGACCTGCACGTGACTTTCCAGGTGAATAAAAGGATTTCTTTCCTCTACATTGATCTAAAATAGATCGGGAAATTCCAAATTGATACAAATTGTTTTGGAAAGCTATTTTAACGACTATGACTTTTCAGCTCATTTGAGCCGAAGGCTCAAGTGAGCTTTTCTGATCACATTTTGTCCGTCGTCCGTCCGTCTGTTCGTCTGTCTGTCTGTCCGTCCGTCCGTCTGTAAACTTTTCACATTTTCGACTTCTTCTCAAGAACCACTGGGCCAATTTTGACCAAACTTGATACAAAGCATCCTTGGGTGAAAGGGTATTTAAATTGTTAAAATGAAGGGCCTACTCCCCTCACAAGGGGAGATAATCAAGAAAAGACAAAAATAAGGTGGGGTCATTAAAAAATCTTCTCAAGAACCACTGGGCCAGTTAAGCTGAAACTTATGTGGAAACATCCTAGGGTAGTGTAGATTCTAAATTGTTCAAATCATGATCCCCGGGGGTAGGGCGGGGCCACAATGGTGAATCAAAGTTTTACATGGAAATATATTAGAAAAATCTTCAAAAATCTCCTTCTCAAGAACCACTGGGCCAGTTCAGCTGAATCTTATCTGGAAACATCCTCGGATAGTGTACATTCTAAATTGTTCAAATCATGACCCCCGGGGGTAGGGCGGGGCCACAATGGGGAATCAAAGTTTTACATAGAAATATATAGGAGAAATCTTTGAAAATCTTCTTCTCAAGAACCCCTGGGCCAGAAAAGCTGAAACTTATGTGAAAGGATCCTGAGGTATTGTAGATTCTAAATTGTTCAAATCATGACCCCCAGGGGTTGGGCGGGGCCACAATGGGGAAACAATTTTTTTACATAGAAATATATAGGAAAAATCTTTGAAAATCTTCTCCTCAAGAACCACTGGGCCAGAAAAGCTGAAACTTATGAGGGAGCATCCTGGGGTAGTGTAGATTCTAAATTTATCAAATCATGACCCCCGGGGATAGGGCGGGGCCACAATGGGAAATCAAAGTTTTACATAGAAATATATAGGATAAATCTTTGAAAATCTTATTCTCAAGAACCACTGGGCCAGAAAAGATGAAACTTATCTTGAAACATCCTGGGGTAGTGTAGATTCTAAATTTATCAAATCATGACCCCCGGGGATAGGGCGGGACCACAATGGGGAATCAAAGTTTTACATAAAAATATATAGGAAATTTTTAAAAAAATATTCTTCTCAAGAACCACTGGGCCAGAAAAGCTGAAACTTATCTGGAAACACTCTGGGGTAGTGTAGATTCGAAATTTTTCAAATCATGATCCCCGGGGATAGGGCGGGGTCACAATGGGGAATCAAAGTTTTACATGGAAATATATAGGAAATTTTTTTTTAAAATTCTTCTTCTCAAGAACCACTGGGCCAGAAAAGCTTAAAGTTAAGTGGAAGCATTCTGGGGTAGTGTAGATTTCAAATTGTCTAAATTATGATCAATGGGGTAGAATGGGGTCACAAAAGGTATTACAAGGGGGAAATCTGGTAAAGAACTGCATGGTCAAAGCTATTCATGTGAATGATGTGGCCCATGGACCTCTTGTTTTTTTTTCATGTGAACAAAACTTTAGCGAATATATATATTTTCGGGTGAGGTTGGTAAGAGGGGATGCAGGGATACCCCTCCAACACTTTTGTTGAACAACAATTTTTACTTTTTGGCAGTCAGTTTTCCCTGATAATACTCTTTCCTTTCAAACTCTATCCTATAAAAAAGACTCACATATTTTTTTCTTGGCAACTAAAATTGAAAAACTTCAAATTGATACCACTCATAAGGCTTATTTTACATTTTAGTTCTGCTTCTCTTTTGTATTTGGCAGGGCTTAATGAAATGCAAGCAAGTAATGAGCTTTATCATTTAATAAGAAAATCATATAATAAAACAATTATTGCTGTTTTTTCGGCCAATACAATGTTAAGCCATCTTCGAAGTACACTATTCATCTCGCCCTTCGAGGTCGGTGAATATTATACTCCTCAGATGGCTAAATCGTTGTATTGACCTCAAAAAACAGCAATAATTGTATTTTATTTACACGATTCTTTACACAGGAATATATCATGTGTATATAGGAAAAAATGTTTAAAAATGTTTTACTGACAAGAAGAGCAATGTCATGATTTGTTATATTGATCGAGAAACATCTTTGTGCATTGTAAATTAAAAGATTGTTCATATCATGACCTCAGGGTTGGTTCACAATGAGGGGCCAAAGTTTTACATAAGAATATAGAGGGAAATTTGAGATTGATTTCCTCTGGAAACTTTAAACCAAACCATAGTTTGTGAATGGTAGCAATTGCGTATAGTGTGGATTCAGACTGATCAAATCCAGAGACCACGGGTGAAGGTCCGCTTGCAATTTGGGATCAAACTTTACGTAGAAATTATATGAAAAATCCTTTACTCAAGAACATAAAGGCCATATTTAGTCATTGATGAGGAAGTATTCTCAGATGTGTTGCTTAATGTTTATGTGAAGGATGACAACTGGGAATAGAGTGGGCCTTGAATGAGTATCAAAGATTACAGACAGAACCATCTTTAGTCTAATTGATAAGGTACTAGTAGTATATGCAGGTTGTGCAGTTTCAAGTTTGATGAAATAATGACCCCCGAGGATAGTGTGGGTCATAATGGGCAATCACAGTTTTACATAACAATTATCTTCTTCTCAAAAACAGCAAAGTCATCATTTGTTATATTCTTATTGAAGCACCACTAGGTAGTGCAGGTTCAAATTTAATCAAATAATGGCCACCATGGATAGGGAGGGACTATCATGTGAAATCCATTTTTTACACAGCTTTGTAAAGGTCTTGCAAGAATTTTTGGTATCGTATCCTCAAGAAAAGCTAAGCTTTTTGTTTAATATTTAAAGAAAAACATCCCCGGTATACCATTCAAACCCCCTGCCCATATTTTTATTTCCTTATTTCTATCCAGTGCGCTTAAGAGCACTATTATGTTTCACAAGGATGTCTTGTTTAAAATGTAAAAACTTGGATAGAGTTGTATACGACTGGAAATGTCTAAGAGGACGGGAGACATTCTGTCAAACAAAGCTAGATGTTTTAATATAAAAATGAAAATTTGCTTTTGTGTTCATGGTGTTTTCTAGTGTAGGTGGATAGATTTTAGTTTTAATAATAATATTTCACATAAACCTTCTTCCAGAGAATCATTGAAAAAAAAATTATAAGTGCTTATTAATCAAAGCAAATTTTCAACAATTTTCAGTAAAGATAATAAATAGCAAAAGTAGTGTTAAGTCATAAGTAATAATAAATACAACATAAAATACCCTCACAGTATCCACATGGCAGGAGATGATTAAAAAAAGTAAAATTATTGCTAAAAATATACATCATCATGAAATGTTATGTTTAGATCCCATGTGATGAATACTTGCAATCAAGAATACTAAACACTTTAAACTCATGTAAGACTTAAACAACCCAATCTTGTAAACTTGACATCAAGAGAACATTATAAGTTGCTGACTGGGGTTGAGGGAACAGTCGATCTGTCGGACCAGTGTGCAAACTGTTGTCCAAGGCCGAAGGCCATGGGAACAGTTCGCACACTGCTCTGACAGGTCGACTGTTGCCCGAGACCCTTGTCAACAACTGTTTTGCTATACTCCTACCGAATCAAATTTTAAATGAAAGTAAAATATTGTTTTGGGAGAGAGAGAGAGAGAGAGAGAGAGAGAGAGAGAGAGACTTTATCATGTTTATGTGTATTTATATCAACATTCATGAAACATAACAAACATTGACGTAACAAACACTTCTGAGGCTGAAAGCTAATAACTAGAACTTGTAGAGGAATATATTTCAATTTTTTCAAATAAATGTGAACACATCTTAATTGCAAATGGTAACGTTATATCCGTAAAAGATTGATTTTGTGGAATACCGCTGTCTGTGTTCTCAAAATTTCCAAACATTTGGTTGTCAAGAAGGAGAGCAAGTTCGTCGCCGTTAATATCAACAATACCTGAAAATTATGGTAGCATATTTCTGCCCTCTACATGCAAGATAAATTATGTGAACATGCAACATAATTATGTAGACATGCAACATATTTATGTCAACATGCAAGTTAATTATGTTTACGTGCAAGTTACTAATCTTATAAGAAAATATAATTTTAATATGGGTATGGGTATGACCCCCATCCAACTAAAAAACACATTTGTTCTATTCCAGATATTTTCAAAGAAAAAAAAGCATAATGGAGGTTGGGCTTTTAAAGATTCATACCTACAAATTTGTAAACCAATTTCACATAGATCTATATTTTTGAGGAGAGGTCTGCGTTTCTAGGGGAAAGGGGATGTGTGGCTCAAGGTCACTTTAAGGGGGCTCTCTACACCTGTAAAGTATAACTGATTTTTGTTGCATGTATTTGTTTCTAATAATAGGCCCCATATCCGATAAAACAAGGTTCCAAAGTATTTCAATTTATTTTTTAGAAGTATTTGAAATATGTTATTTATTTTGTTAAAATCCCTCCTA